AACGCATTGACACTAACGACGATGCCCTCCATAGAAACGTGGCCAACCTGGGTAGGTTACCCATTACAAACGAGATCGAGCAGACGGAGGTACTATGAAAGTTTAATTCGCCACATTTTGCCTTGTTCAAATGAGATGGAGATCCGGATAGACAGTTGATGCACTATCGAAGTGCCATGACCTTCTACGTTAACAATGAAGCGCTCATGTGCAAAATCTTTACCGTGACATTCCAACCGTCCATCCTATGGTAAAGTTTCGCAAAAGACATGGTGAAATGGAAGGATGAAGCAAAAACAAGGAAATATGTTTATTAAATTTCTATCAAAAGACTACTCATTGGCAGCATGTGCAACCATTGGTTTTTCAACTACTATGCCTTCAGCAGCCGTGCCATTCCCAGCAGTTAAAACTTCCATCAGCTCATCCTCAGCTGTCTCTACCTAGATTGCTTGACTTTCAGTTGCTCCGCCAAAGGCAGCCTCAAATGAGAAATCAAGCAGATCAATTGGAGAAATGGAAAAAGTCTCGAAGTTCTTCTCGGAAAACTCATAATTCGATGGCTTAACCTGAAGATAGTCTACATAACCAAGCTTGTAGAAATCAGCCTAACAGGAAGCAAACGCCACTTCGTGACCAGCTTTCTCATTCTTCAGCTGTGCATCCTCCTCAACAAGCCCAGTGTGAGCACCCTGCAACTTATCCAGCTTATTTTTCATGTTCTCGCTAACAGATAGCGCACCTTACAGATCCACTTCCTTAGACTCAAGCTTACTGGCAATCTCTTTGAGACAAGACACTTCAGCATGCATGAAGATAAGCTCCTCGTCATTGGCAAAACAAGCAAATCATAGCTCCGAATTGACACATTCAAGATCCTTGACCACCGAAAAAACATGACAGATTTCTTTCTCTTCAATTTTCAATATCGCCTGAGTCACAGTAAGCCTAGCATTCAAATGGGCGGCTTCCTCACAAGTGATCTCCAACTGTAAAGAAGTGGGGGCAAAGACATAAGACTTCTTCAAAACGGGAAGTTCAGATTTGAGCTTCTCAATCTTTTCAGCAGCCAAGCGAAGCTGAGCCACCAACGCCACTTCGGCCTCCTTGGCACACTTGACAACATCCTAATCAATGCGTATAGACTCAGCTGCCAGGATCAAAGTCTTATGCATTGTAGCAATCAGGAAGGACCTCATTGAGTAGGCAAAACGCTTTGAAAATGAGTCTGATTAAATGATAACTTTCCCAACATTGTCAAAATTGGCGCATGCATCTACGTCCTCATGCAGGTTAGCCTTCAGTAGCGTACAAACTTCAGGAAACTCTCTAGCTTCAGACTCGATGGATCTTTCACAACTGCCTGTACGAGCAGATTTCCCCCTTTCAGCAGACGAGTCAGTCACGACAGAATGAGGTGTAGGCCTAGGTGCTGCTTTAGCAGTAGAATCCACCCTCCAGCTCTTTATAACGGTGAACCTCTTAGAGGCCGATCTAAACTTAGCTCTCAACGGACGTTTTGATACAAACCCGGATATCGGAGGCACCACCAAACTCTTCCGCTGGGCAAGTTTCTCAGAAATGGATGTGGTCACCTTCAGAGCAGCAGGTTTCACAGGCTCAGGCTCAACGGTCATCTTCGCCCCCTTGGGGGAAGTTAGATCAATGACAAACTTCTCGGCAGTAGACGAGCTCCCACAAACAGCAGAAGAAGTCATTGGCTTCTTCTCAACCGAAGGCTCACAAGCAGGTAAGGAAAACCTTTTATTTCCACCACCATTGGCAACAGGTTTTATAACGATTGGGCCAGCCAACGCCTCGTCCTTTATCCGCTTTATCTCTTCCCTTGGGGGCAGGCTACATTTCTCCCGGCGAAGAAGGTTGAGCAGCCAGCGCCACTCACGGTACTCAACTGGAATGCCCAAGGCAACGTGCATTATCTTCATATCTGTTGAAGTCCTTGGAGTTAAGCCAAACTTCGAATCTACACAAAGTAAGAAAAACGATCAATAAATTGAAGTCATGGAGCAGCTCAACAAAAATTCAAGCAGGACAAGAATGAAGTAGTTCACTTACCACTGATAAAGGTAGTCGGGACACGCAACTCAAGAGAAGAGTCAGACTCCCATTCTCTGCTCACCTTCAAGGTGTCTCTCGTCCAACCATGATTGTCTTTTCTAGAAGCATCGAGCAGCTTATGGCGAGACCTCAGCTGCCCCACACATTCCTTGTGGCCAATCTCAAGGAAGTACCAGAACACATTTATGGTTAAGCCAAGATCAAAGAACCTGCTCAAGTTCAAGAACCCCACCATCGCACGAACTGCATTTGGGGAACATTAAGTAGGTGCACATTTCAATGAGCAAATCACCTAGTGGATAAGACGCAGCATGGGGGAAGGCCCGCACCTCCTTCCCCTCTTTCTTCCGTGCCCAGCAACCTTAAAGACCCAGTCCAAGCTGGTCTCCCCGAGCCTTAGTGCGCCAATCCCCTCTGCCTGATTCGAGTCGTCCACCTGGTCCACACCACCAAGCAGCCCTGAGGCTCCCATGCCATGTGTTACCCACACCCACAGCCCTTGCCAAGTCGATTTTTCAAGTCCCAAGACTCCCAAAAAATTCAAGAAGAAGAAAATTCAAATTTTTCTTACCTTGGTGTGGCATGGAGAAGAAGAAAAACAATGAGAAACGACTATTCGCAAGGGCAAGAAAAGAAGAATGTTATGGGAGGGGGAAGAAAAAATATCCTCTGGCCTCTTTTTCTTGTTGGGATAATGATTGTTCTCCAAATTTATTTAATCCCTTGCTTAAGGTAGAATTAAATAGGTATTGGGGGCAATTATTTTCCTTTTCCTAGAAGAAGTCTATCTCCAAATCAAGAAAGAAGATCAAGTTCAAATTGGGTAACAAATCTATAAACCCAAGCAGCTTGTGATTACTACACCTACTGCCATTTCCATGCATGTAGCACAATAGGTGTGGGGGCATTTGTGGAGTTTAAAATAATCCCGGAAATTCTAGAGGCGACACGTAGACTTTTATTTAAGAAAGACAAGATTGCCCTCAATAAATGGGCAGGCTTCTCAGATGCTCCCACGTGCAGCTCACATCCGCGGAGGAATCAGCAGCTAAACACAGCTGCCCACAGCTCACTTGCCCTTGGCAAGGAATTAAAAATAAGGATTAATTGCCCAAATCCTATCTTTAATACATTCCTAATTGAAGATTGACTCTAATCAAGCAAGTAATCCTAATTTAAATAGATTAAGGATTATTACCATATTATCTCAAGATATTATCTCCTATTAAATATCTTGGGAATATTTAGAGAATATTTCTCCATTAAACCCTATATGGCCGGCCCTAACCCCATAAATACCCCATATTCTACCAATTTTAGAGGGCTTTTGCAACCCTAAAAAGCCTAAACACTTTACTCTCAGATAAACTAACTTAGGCATCGGAAATCCGTTGAGCTAACCCTGCCCCCCACCTTGTGGGCGCGTGAGGCTTAGATCTTTGATCAAAGGTGTTGATTGTTTTGCAGGTGCATTTTCGTCAAGACTGAAGACGTCAGAAATTTGCATCGACAATTTGCATGGTTCATGTTTTTTTAATGCATATGATATTATCAACACTAATGAATGGGGAAGTAAGCTAAACCTTACAATGAGTTAGTTATAATAATTTTGTTCGAATTTACCGTTGATGAGAATTGAATCTAAAACCTCTCATTTATAAATAATAAAAAATACCAATAAATTGTAGTACTAAATGACATGATGCATATTTTTAAATTCTCATACTACTGGCAAGGATCAAGGCCACGCTTAGTGCTTTTAGTGGTGCTTGTTGGAGCCAGCTTGTTTTTTGCACTTTGATTTCAATCCACCCCTAAATTCATTAGTTATAATAAAAGGCCAATGCAGCATGCACATGTAAATTCAAATCAAACACTTCAAACTCAGTTCATTGACATTATTTTTTTTTTTTTTTTTGCTTTCTAATTTTTCTTTTATTTACGAATGATAAGATAAGTTACATTAAATTTAATTATATTATATAAGAAAGGATTTCAATAAAACCTCAAGTGCAAAAATGTAATTTTTAATCAACTAAGTTAAAAATCACTTTCAATTTTGATGACATTGTTGAAGTGAATGGCTTTTTAAGCATTGTTGAGTAAATTAATGTAAAATCCACGACAAGTAAAGCTAAAATATCCATACAGTAGACGCTATATCATCCCAATTAAAATGATTTGTTGAAGGTATCTTAAACTTTAAGGATTAAGATGAAAGTATATATGAACATAATTAATCTTCTACAGTTCTACTTCCATTGCCTTCCTCTTCAGGAAAGAATATGAGTAGAGCTGTATCCATTAATAAAAAGCATGAGAGGTAGAGCTTTCTTGTTCAGTTTCTCTAGTATACCATGCAAAAGTAAAAAACAAATTTAATATCCCTTGGGGTTATAAGTGTCCATGCAATTTACATACATTTTAAGGCTAACTAAATTTTATACCCTCTAATTTAGAGATGATTTTTAAAATGGATCACGAGGTCCGATTTTTTCACATTACACTATGAGATTTTGAAATTGTATCAATATATACCTTTTATTTGTTTGAACATTTGATCCTCCAATAAATTAATGAATTTTGTTTTGTTAATGTGATTTACACGTTATCCCATATACTAGTCTCATGCTCATCATGTCATTACTTTGTTGAAGGGTCAATATGAATTGATTCAATTACAATAACATATGATGCAATAGGAACTTTGTGGCTCATTTTGAAAATGATTCTAAATTAAAGGATGTGAAATGTAGTTAACCTAAAATTTATTTATTTATTGTCTAAAACATGAAAGCTCACAGAAAAAAAAGAGAGAAGATGTTTTAGAAATCTCAACGAGATTCTGGAAGTGCTATTTGAGCTAGAGTTGGCGTGCATTAGTTGAAAAACAAAACAAAAATAAAGGAAAAGAAGACATGTTGTAGGAGTGTTTTGTGTATTATAATTTGTTATTACAATCAAACAGAATCAAAGTGTCGGACATAAACATTCAAACAAACATCGAATTGTGACTTTTTTTTGCCTTCAGACACTAATTCAACTAAAGGAGAAAAAAAGAGAGCAGACAAATAGAATGAGAACATTGCCAGATTACAAACTAAAGAAAAACCAAAAGCGAAAAGTCAATCCATTCCCAGTACAAGTTGGTTCACATTAACAACTACTTTTTAGAATTTTAATCCCTCTGGTTATTAATTTTTAATCCATGCAAGCAAAGTCGGTGGGGGTGGGGGTGGGGAATTTGGAATCATAAACAACAATCATTGACAAGTTTGACGTTGACGTTGTGGTTACATTCTTAACTCTGGTTTGGTACATTAATCACCTCACGAACTCTGCCTCACCGTGCAAGCAACCACCTGTGCCCACTGCCTCAGCCGCGTCTTCACCGTCTGCGGCGTATCTCCTTCACCCAACATTCCAATTTTCCCGAGAAACAAACAGAAAGTCAGGAACTTGATTCATAAACATGATGAATACTTGAAGAAGAAACAAAACCAAGTTTTTAAAATCACGTGAAAAATGAAATATACATACCGGGTCCGAAAATGGTATGGGGGCTGCCGATGGGGAGGGCACCGAGTCGCACTCAGACGGCGTCGGCGAAAACAGCGACGTTGGAGTCCCAGTAGACTTATTAGAAACCGAGTCACAGTAACTCTTGTTAACCGCGTAGTAGAGTCCCAACGCGGGAAAAGTGTTAGCGAGTCGCTGATCGGACTCGGGCGAGTCAAACCCGAACCCTAGCTCGATGCAGGCTTTCAACTCGTCGAGATCTTCGTCGGTGACGCTCTTGCTCCGCTGGAGGTTCGATCTGCCGTTGATTTTCTTGCGGCGGTGCCATGCCTCGTCGCGGTATGCGTCCGGGGACCACGACCGCTGCTTGTAGAGCGGTGGAGGAGGCGGCGCGTGGGGTTCAGACATAGGCGCATCCACCGCCCCTGCCGTGGTGGGTGGGGGGATTTGCGGCGGAGGTCGGAGGACCTCGCGCGCTGGGGGCTCTTTGAGAGCGCTTATGGCTTGGTTGGCGTTTTTGGGTTTGTTACGAAGGAGAAGGGTTTAATAGGAGGGGAGGTAGATAGTAGGGCCCGGTGGAGACTTTGCTTAGGTTGGTCCTCGTCATCATGACCTGTCCTGTACCCTTTGCTGATTTTTCACTAGTTTTTGGAAACTTCTCTTTTTTTTTTTTTTGTTTTTTTGTTTTTTTTTCCTTTGTTTGCGTGTTTTGGTATATGTATTTTCTGTTTGATTCGCGGAAAAATGTTCGGCGGGGAAGGGGGGTTTGTGTGTTAGGGTGGGGTTGTGTTCGTCATTGATGCTTCACACGAGTGAATATTGGTTTCTGTGGTTATACCCACCACCTTGTATTTTAGTTTTAAGGTAATTACGATATGCATGAGGGATTAATGAGTGTGATTATACATGCTCTAACACTCTCTTTCCAATTTTATATTCGTACAATAGAATAAGACCAAACCCAATCCTAAGCTAAAAGCTAAATTCTAGGTGCCGATCATTAGTGATGCCTCAATATTCGTGCTAGGAAGTTGTAGCACATATTTCAAGTGAGTGAGTCTTTTCCTTTTTATAGTGTGTGTGTGTGTGTGATTGATAGTTTCCATTTATGCATTTGAAAAAGTATTCCTTACGTACGCCTGGCTTTGACGCACAAGTATGCTTATAATCTTTGATGCCATAATTATATCTACGACTATGAATGTTAGTATGTTGATTAGAACTATCGAATCACTGTGGCATGCTTATATTCATGTAGTCTACTCATCATTGCTGCACCCTGTTGTTAGTGCTCGCCCCGGGCTAGGGCCAGTCCTTTATGTGTATGTTCACCCCCGCACCACACGCTCACTTTGGATCCAAGTAGGTTTCAGTCCTGTCGTATAGGTCGTATTAGGCGACTCCGACTCATAGGTGACCACGATTATCCCTAGTCTTCACATGATTATAGCACTACTGTGTATATTATGATTATACCCGGTCCTGTCATACAGGTCGCATTAAGTGACTCCGACTCGTGTGCTAGCATATATTGATGAGCAATAGGTGCAGTCGTACAGGTCGCATTAGGCGACTCCGACTGGTGTGCTAGCATAGGTTATTGAGCACCTGATTTTAGTTATATTACTATTGAGATTTTGTGATTTTGGGATGTCATCCTTATTTACGTTTTGCAGGCTACGGTAAGTATTTTCGTACTACACGTAGTATTTATATTTTGGAAACTATACATGTTTTACGACAAGTGGTTAAAACATTTTCAAAGGTTTTTTATTAAAACTTTATTTTCAGGCCCACTCACCCTTGTTTTCGCCCCTCCAAGTTTTAGTAGCTGAGCTTTCATATCGACGAGGATTCTTGGCAAATCTTGAGGTAGACGGTTACCTTCAATAGTATACTTTCTCACCTTATTTTACTGTACTGTATTTATGTTATGTCATCACGTGTGAATTGGGTTCATTCCCACTCACAGCGCACTCTTGTATTTAGGCACTTTTATGTTTAAATTTATTCATATTTCCACATCACAACACTTTATGGCTTTGTCACCCTCCAGATGTCGGCTAGTACAGCTCGATTTGGAGTCTAGGTGGACGTTCCAGGTCGAGATGTGTCAAAGATGGTCTAATGGGGCAATTGAATATTAATCATTTCATAAGATTGAAATTCAATTAAAACCTAAGGTAAGATCAAATATTAATTATAGTCCATTGACTAGATATCCACATAAGCATTTATATATAAATTGATAATTAATTGTTATTAGATACTTAAATTCGTTTTTTTCATTCCCAAAATGGCCATATTAAGCATTTGATTTTTTTTGTCAAACTAAATTTTTGATTAATTTGATCCAGATTTTTTGCCATCATCCTTGACCTCCTCTATTAATAAATGCACCTGAATGGAAAACCGTAACAAAAAGATATTAATGAAATGTTAAGAAATAAAATGCAAAATACACAAAGTTTGACGTTACGCAAGTTGCAAAGTAAAGAGTATATACCAAACAATGATAAAATGATTGTAACTAATTATGTGTACCAAAGTATGTGTGCACCGAAGTATATGCATTGAAGTATATGCATTGAAGTATATGTACTGAAGTATATGTATCAAAGTATATAAATGTACTGAAATATAGTACCTAAACATGTGTACCGAAACATTGTACGAAGTATATATATCAAATGTATGTACCTGTATAGTTCTCAAAAGTATAATGTAGCTATACGAAAAAAGGCTTCTTGTTGAGATCACTATTGTTATGAAAAATGGAAAAAACCCTTCATATATTTAGGTATAACAATCACTAAATGGAAAGTTCCATTCATATTAATAGAATTTTTTGAGGCAATTCAAACTAGAAGATGCAAAATCAAAATTCATGAAGTTGTGGTCACGAACTCACTGTGGAGCAGTATGGGTGGCTAGCTTGTAGGAGGGAGGGAAGGAGGAAGAGAGAGAGAGAGAGATTGAGAGGATCATCACCTTATATCAAATGAGTAATAAATTCTACAAAAATTCTCAAATGAGTAATAAATTAAATGTAAATATTTGAATTTCAAATGAGTAATAAATTTTGCAACATCTCTCATAAAAACAATTATTGTTCACGAGGATAGAATTGGAAGAAAGACCATAAAATCATTGTAAAATGGGTACATATGACGTGGAATCACTACTAGAAAATATCATTTTGCAGACAAATTCTAAGCTGACAAAGTAAAATTTTGTCGCCACAAAACACCTTCCCCGACCAAAATTTTAATTTGTAAGCTCATAGTCATTGAATTTGTGCTGACAATATTTTCGTTGGCGAAAAATATTTATACCGACAAATAAAATGACACTCGAGAAAGCATGCAAGTTTGTCATCTCTAACAATCAGAAGAGGGGCGCGGACTAATTTATTCTCGGCCTTTTGTCTTTTGGTCCTTTTGATTCACCCGCTTCTTCTTTTGTTATCGAAAAATTCCCCCTTTAAAAATCATTGTATTTTCATTGAACCCTAATCTTAACTGTCGATAGCCCACCCTTTTGTTTCTCTTTGAAATCGTAACTCTCTGCTCTCCGATCTCGCTCCATTTGCTCATCGTCACTCCGTATGCTCGACATCGTCGTCGCTCCGTGTGGTTGACATCGCCGTCGATTTATCTAATCGCGTCATCGTCAAAGTGCTCGACCATTCTAACTCCAAAATTTCTAATGCAGGGTGCTTCTTTGCATTTCGTTCTCTAAAACTTTGGTAAGTTCTCAATCTTTATTTACCCTATTCTTTCCCCGTAGCTTTTTGTATAGTTTCAATTTTATGGTGCTTTTCTTAGATTTGTTCTTCCACTGTAATTTTGAGGGATTTTAGGTAATGAATTTGGTTGAGAATCTAAGTTAGGTTTGTAATTTCTTTCTAGCCTGCGTGAGTTCAAGGATGATTAATCCACTTTTTGAATTTTAATTACTTTTAACTTTTATTTCTGGGAAACTGCAATCAAAATGCAGTTATGGTTTTATAGTCATAATCGATTGTGAGTCTTTGCACCACATCAGTCAATTCCTATGTTTAATGAATTGAAATTAGGGTCATGTTACTAATTAAATTGTCGGATTATGGTTGTGATAAATCGGTCATTTTCCCATTACTCTCCCTGGTTTTTATTGCCTTTAAAGTTCCAATATTTAATCAAATTAATATTCTAGTCGTAGATATCTCTACAACTGGGCTGTATATTTCATGAAAAATTTGATATGTGGTCTAATTCTTCTGTTGCAATCCTTTATTGTTCTCGGGTATATTTTTCTCGTTGTTTTGACAACCACCAGTTGTTACATCTCAGCCTGGGCGGGACCACTTTTCGGGCCCGACTTCATTGTAGCACGATATTGTCCGTTTTGGGCCCCAACCACGCTCTCACGGTTTTGTTTTTGGGAACTCACACAAGAACTTCCAGATTGGTCACCCATCCTGGGAATGCTCTCGTGCGCTACTCGCTTAACTTTGGAGTTCCCATGGAACCCGAAGCCAGTGAGCTCCCAAAAGGCCTCATGCTAGATAGAGCTGGGAATATACATATACGGATCACTCCCCTGGGTGATATGGGATGTTACAATCCACCCCCCTTAAGAGCCCGACGTCCTCGTCGGCACACACGCGACCAAGGTTAGGCTCTGATACCAAATTGTCACATCCCGACCTGGGGCGGGACCACTTCCCGGACCTGAATCCACTGTAGCACGATATTGTCCGCTTTGGACCCCAACCACGCCCTCACGGTTTTATTTTTGGAACTCACATGAGAACTTCCCGATGGGTCACCCATCCTGGGAATGCTCTCGTGCTACTCGCTTAACTTCAGAGTTCCTATGGAACCCGAAGCCAGTGAGCTCCCAAAAGGCCTCGTGCTAGATAAAGATGGGAATATACATATAAGGATCACTCCCCTATACGATGTGGGATGTTACACCAGTCATCTGGTACATGATTCATTTTCTAGTCAATAAATGTTTAGTAACTATTTAATTTTCTTTCATCATTAACTGGTTAGATTTTAATCCCAGTATCTGTAGAGTTTAGTAACGGCATACATTCAGTTTGGTGATTTGGATTCATTTTTCACTGGTGTTTCTTTGGCATTATTTAATCTTCTATGAAAATAGTACTTGTACAGAAAGAGCTTGGGAGGCAAACAATGCTTGCTCTATGCAAAGAAGCGCACAATCAAAGAAGCTCTAGAAGGTTTGTTATCTCTCTAGTCTATAATGTATATATGATCAATTATATATGAAAGTTCCTTTTTTTGTTCTTTTGTTTATAATGTATCACTGTCTTTAAGTTCTTGTGTAATCGCGTGGTAATTTGAACATGTAATTGTTTAGTTTTTCATTTAGTTATGTTGTTGATTCTTCATGGC